GTAAGTGAAAAGTAAGTAAAAAGAGAGTTTATGAAAAGTTTGAATTTGAAACTTTTGAGTTTTTACTGTTTAAGAGCTTTTTGAGGTTAAAAAAATATTTAAAAGTGTAAATTTTTAAGAGAGAAATTTAAATGCATGAGACATGAATAACGTCCAAAAACTGAAGCTCCAATAATCTACACCAAACATGCTCTAAGTTTGCAAATAATACGGCCCGTTGCAAGGTCCAGTCCACTCTTACCGAGGGAAAAAAAAAAATACAGCACCCAACGCATGGGCCGCGTGGCAGCATCAGCCTCCTCCACGATGCCGTCTCACGATACAACTCGTCTTTTGGTTCTTCCTCTGATTCTTCACTCTCGTTTCTTTCTGCCGCTATAGCTAAAATCAATGGCGACAATCTCTTCCGTCTATTCTCTTCAATTCGGAGATTTCCACTCCGAAATTAACCTCAACTCATTCTATATCCGAGTTCGTTTCTTACTTGATGACTCTACTTCTCTGCAACTCAGAGCTCAACCAACCAGCAGCCATCACCAGATAAAAGGTCGAGGTAGCAGAGAAGGGGAATGTTTTAATCGAGAAAAAGGCAGATGGAGAATGCAGAGATGAAGATGATGATGATGATGTGAATAAGGAGACAGGTGAGATCGGTGGCCCTAGAGGCCCTGAGCCTACTCGTTACGGCGATTGGGACCACAACGGTTGCTGCTATGATTTATGAAAGATTTCATCAATTTATCCTCATATCATTCTGATCTGAAGTCAATTCAGACTTCCAAATCCAATCTTCAAGCAGCATCTTCTGTTCTTCATCAATAATGGGTACTCTCTTTGACTTTTTATTATTTTTAATGTAAAGTTATGATTATGTCTTTCATTTCATTAATAGTGTAAATTAAAGATTCATTTTTCATGAGATTTTGAGCAATTTTTCTTAATCCTGTTTCTGGTCATTGTTTGTTTGTTTCCCTTAAACAAATTTGGGAAACAATTCTTCTTCTGAATTCAGACATTCTTCTTTGTTACCATTTACACACTTTTCCTTTATGAAGAACTAATTTCATCTCCATTGCAGCATAACCATAGATGTTTTTATAATTTTATCTATGCATTTAGGTGGTAGGTGTACATTGCTTCTTTGCAAGCCCTTTTAGCATTAATGAATATTATGTGTTTAATCTGTTATATCCATTAATGAATATTGATCTTGAACAATCCTATTTGGTTAATTAAAAATATGCAATAACATAAATCGAATTATGATATTCAAACAATAAATGGTATGGTGAATCCTGCTATAACAGAGGGTTAGGAGGCTTCGCCAAACTTTAATACATTTTACAAAAAATTAAAAAAGTACAGTTTTAAAGTGGCCATTTTCTAAGTCTACAATACTGGATATTGGCATATAAGCAGCACTTGCTAACAGTAAAATTTACCTAATAACACATTTGATTGAGACCATTAAGTTCTGGCGTCAAGAGACATTGTTGGCATGGCTGCTAGACTTATACTAGCATGATCTGCAGTTGGCAATTCAGAAGGAAATAAACAAGGCCTGGGAGGCATTGTCGGGAGCTCAATTTCACTCTCAAGCATCTCCAAGACTTTGGTCATTGAAGGGCGAATGACAGGTTTCATTTGTATGCACCATAAGGCAACTATGACCATCTTTTTCACAATATTCTTTTCAACATTTGTAACATCTCCCAAATCTATATCCTCGCCTCGATCAAATTGGTCATAAATCCATGTTGGGAAGTATACCTCACTTGATTGGTTCACAAATTCTTTAAAGTTCCTTCTCTTTCCTACCATTTCCATCAACAACATTCCAAAACTATAAACATCAGCCTTGTATGAGACACCTCCAATATTCTTGTAGAATAACTCTGGAGCAATATATCCTGGTGTTCCTCTAGCTGCTGTGAGAGATACAAAACTGTCATCTATAGGATACAATTTTGCAAGGCCAAAGTCAGAAACTTTTGGATCAAAATTGTCATCCAAAAGGATATTGTGAGGCTTGATGTCAAAATGTAAAATTTGCATTTCACATCCCCTATGCAAGTATTCAATCCCCCTAGCCACCCCAAGAGCAATCTCGAACATTCTTTGCCAACTTAAAGACATATTGCTTTGCGTTGAAAATATGATTTTGTCCAAAGACCCATTGGGCATGAAGTCATATACTAAGGCTTGCTTAGATCCTTCAACACAAAATCCAATCAGTTGCATGACATTAGCATGATGAATCCTTCCCATGGTAGCAACTTCATTGATGAAATCTTGGCCATTACCTTTTGAAGTGCTCAGTAATTTTATTGCTACAAAATGGCCACTTCGAAGCTTTCCTTTAAAAACTGAACCATAACCTCCTTGACCTAATTTATTCTTGAAACTTCCAGTGATCTTCTTTATTTCTGAATATGTGTACCTAATAGGCATAAAGTTATTCTGCTTTTGAAGGAACTCTTCAAGTGTATCATCCACAGACAAATGTCTTCTCCTCAATTTGTACACAATGAGTGCAAGCAAGATGGATATCCCAAGCAGAGCTCTAGCTAATATAATTGCTCCTTCTCAGGAAAAAAGATAGCCACAGATTAGTATCTACAACTCTGTAAACGTCCTATGAAAATGAAATATGTTTTCAATTCATTTAAAGAATTTGTCAAATTATTCTAGCTTGTTTTCTTTTTAAGGAACTATATAGTGTAAATACAAAGAGTGTGTTAATGATAATTTGAAACACATACAGTAGAAGAACTTTTCATATGATATTAAATTAGGTCTTAATTTATTCTTAATTTATCTTCACAAGTTGAATGCTTTTCTGGAAATTTTCTGCTATTTGCATATAAAACCTTTATACTATTTTCCATCTACAAATATTTTAGATTCCAACATTAACTAAGAAATTATGTATAAACTTTTTTTTTTCTCTCAAATATAAGCAGAGACATACCTGTTGTTAGAAGACATATGATATATGTTCCTGTTACCAAAAAAAAAAATGCCAATGTTATAGAAACAGACAAACAGTCATATATTTAGGTGGGGAAAGCAAAATAAAATTATAACATTAATAAAAATTATATATTAAGACATACTATGTGGTGGAAATTTCGTATTATGCTTTACATGGGGGCCGCCCAGAAGGAAAAATATAAAGCTGTCCAGAAAATTATCCAACGCATACTCCACTGATTGTAATCTACAACGTTAAACAAAGCCCAGTGAAGTGATATCAAGTCAAATACAAGGTAAAAAAAAAAAAAAATGAAGGGATATTGAGAAGTTAAGAGCATCAAAACAGGGTATTCTTCTTCCTATTCTGCATAAAGTGAAGATGTTGACAAGTCGCTGAATGCTTACATCTCCTTCAATGTATTTTCGTCTTGCCAGAAGAAGCACTCGTCTTCCAAATACCAATCGATTTCATAGTCCTCTAGCAGCTTATGATAGATATCAGAAGCAGAAAGGCGTGTGATATTAGACTTCGAAAACGGAAATTGGGCTTCAATTCTGCACGACTCATTGAAATCAGATGACTTTTGTTGGGAATGATTGAAGAGAAAAAAGTAGGTATATGGAGAGGAAGATCTATTGGTGCAAGCTGAGGCATCAACATAAAGTGATGAGTTCATTGGTATATTGCAATTTAGAATATACATAGTGTAATCCTCAAAATAAATTGGGACACCAAAAAGGGAACTGCGAGAAATGGAGCACTTATCCCTCCGAAGACTGGTATCGATCAATCGGACTGTAGCAGAAAAAGGATATTTTTTTGTTATATTCTCAACAAAGAATTTGCCCTGTTCTGTAACGAAAGTTGTGCGATTATTCTCGCATACTAGTTCATACCCTGGAAAACCACACTTAACAGGATCGGTATTCAATCGGAAAGGGTAT